AGAGAGAGAGAGAGAGAGAGAGAGAGAGAGAGAGAGAGAGAGAGGAATGACAGGCAATTGGGGCGCTAGTGGTGCAGTGGTTAGTGCGCAGGCCCAATGTATGGAGGCTGTAGTCCTCCAAGCGGCGCGGCCCAGGTTCAAATCCAGCCTGTGGCTCCTTTCCCACATGTCATTCCCCTCTCTCTCTCTCCCTGATTTCCAACTCTATCCACTGTCCTGTCTCTCCATTAAAGGGCCAAAAATAAATCTTAAAAAAAAAAGGGAATAACAGGCAGGAAAGCAGGGTCGCCCACTCTCGAGGACTTTAGCCTCTGTACTTGGGACACCTAAACTAACCACTAGGCTAACAGCGCCCCAAAAGAGAGCCTCTTTAAGCATATCTGTAAAAAAAAATAATAATAATAATTCTGACAAGGGGTTCGTCTAAATCCAGACAGCAGGGCTCAGATATAAAAAATAAACAGGATTTACAACAATCCTATTTGCTTACCCATCCCGGCATATTACTTTTACTCACTATGGCTTTGCCAAGCTTTGAATTTTCTTTTACAAAATCTTTATGTGTCTCACCACTATTACCACCTCATTTTATAAGAATGTTTAGACAACTGTGTCTTATACCTGTTTTATTGTACCTCTTTACTTTCTGAAAAACATTTGTAACTTTGACTAGCTGCGGAACATGTTTCAATTTTGCTCTGAATAAAAATTTAAATTAAAAAAAAATAAAAATAAACAGTTGTTTTGTTTAAAAAAATTAAAAAAACCTGGTCTCCAGCTCCGATGTCGGTCTCTGGACGATCGATGTGAACTCCCTGAGCGATGTCAGGAGACTGCTCCTCGAGAGCTACCAGCACGTTACAGGTCTTATAGTCAAAACCTGGACGGACAGAGACATGAGAGGAGGACAGGAGACGTGCAGAGTTTATCATTTTGACATTAAAGGAGGGGCTTCTCCTGACCGCCCATGAATTCTAAGTATGCATGAGGAATCGGAGCAGAGGAGTAAACTCATGAGATCGCGGTGACCTTTGTTGGAGTTGTCGTAGCCGATGTCTCTGATGGTGTCTCTCACCACCTTCTGATAGTCCACGTTGGCTCGTGATGTGATCTCACCGCACAGCAGCACCATGCCCGTCTTACACACCGTCTCTGTTTTCAACATACAGAAAAATAAAGAGCCGCTGTAAAAGTGTATCACTGACCTCTGGTGGAGTGAACACATCATTGCTCACCACAGGCCACTTTAGCGTCGGGGTCCTGCTTCAGGTGAGCGTCAAGCACAGCATCACTGATCTGATCGCAGATCTTATCTGGATTAAAAAAAAACAAAGAGAAAAGTGATGAATTAAATCATGCATCACTCTGAGTCTGGAGGTGTCCTCGTGTGACCGTGTGCTGCAGATGTCACATTCCTCATGGGGGTAGATCTCATTTCCATCAGAGAGCTGCACATCACTACAGTGACGAGCTCCTGTTCTATGAATAGACTGTAGAGTGGTGTCACTCTCATGCCGTTCACTGTAACTCCATCAGATGGTCAAAGCACCGACACACTGACACCAACCTGCACACCTTCTGTTTCCTATGTTTGACTTCTGCTGTAATGAAAAAGAAAAAAAAGACATGCACATCCCTGAGAGGGTGCTGGATCAGAAGAAAAAAAACATGAATATGTACTCGGCACTTTATTTTAATGAAAGCTGCTTAAAGCCTCAGTCAGTTATCTCGGTTGTTTCTGGAAGGCTGCTATATTCACTGACTTTTGCATTTTTACTGTCTTGGCTTTTTGGATGTTCTTTTGTTCTTTTCTTTTGTCTTTTTACTTATTTATTTATTTCTTATTTTACAGGGACATTGCATATTAATAAACATTTCTGTAAATATGTAAATAAGTTAGCCAAAAGGCAAATTTTCATCTGTTGTCCCTGGCCAGATTTTATAAAAGGCTCCCTAAAAAAAACAAATTCAAACATTGCTCAAAGCTACAAATAGAAATATCATGACAGTAATTAAGCAGACAGGTAAGCAGCCACAGGATACACTGCATGGCTTCAGAAAGATCACAACTGGAACTTTAATCTAAAAATATTTAAATGTAAAGCAACGCGTTTGTAACATTTGTGAATGCGGCTTCACAGTTGTGTTGTGTTATAAACTTTTTGTCAGATTCAGTTAAAGATGTTATGAAACAACTTTAAAGCACTTTTTCGTTAAATTCAGTCAATGCACATTTAAAACAGGAGCAGATAAACCTGATGTGTTCATGCTGAAGCTGTTTAAATTGATTGAAGCAGAGCTGCAGAGAACGACTTTATAATGCTTAAAGTGATTTAGCATGTTTGAAAATTAGCATTTGAAGTCTAACATCTGCAAGGTTAAAGTTTAATTCACTTCATTCTTTATATTTGCACCAAAATATTACAAATTCCTCGGTCACATTTCAGACACTCTTTGTGCTCCAGTGCCTCCGTGCAGCACTCAGGATTCTGCACATTCCTCAAAGTCATCAATGATCACTGAAACATAAAAAAAGACTCCTCGTTGACGTTCTGTTCCAGCTGCTCGTTCGTACTGTTTATCATCCGCAGGTTCAAATCCTCTACTCACCAGGATGTCCCTCTCCCACTGACTCAGAGGTAAACATGAAGGAGCCCTCGTGATCCTCGTAGTTCCCTTCCATGGACCCGTTCGTGTAATCCCTCTCAGAGCTGCCTGACCGATGGACTCAGATATCAGACGGGATGACGATGAGGAGCACAGAAGAAGAGGAGTCCTTGTCTTTTCTTTTCTTACACAGAAAACTGTGCTGAAGATTTTTAACTTCAGTCCTCTCGGTCCCGGAGCGGAGCAGCCGGAGAACTCTGCAGCTAAAAAAAGCAAAGACAACACACACTCATACACACTCATACACACACTCATACACACACTCACACTCATACACACACACACACACTCACACTCGTACACACACACACACACACACATGGGGGGAGGGGGACCAGAGGGTCAGACCATTCAGAGGTTAGAGAGGGGACAGAGGAATGCATTTTTTCTTCTTCTTGGAAACCACTTTAATTAAACTCCTCCTGCGCAGTGTCCACACTTCATACTCTCTCGTGATCAAAAATGTTTTTTCTTAAATCAAACAGGAGCTTTCTTTTAAATCGGAGATACTCCTGAGTTCCTCCACGGGTTCATTCATGCCTTATGTATTTGTCTCTTTGTACCTGGGGGCCCCTGAGGTCTCTGATGAGGGGCCTCTGTGGCTGTGAACACACGCAGCAGCAGTCATCCAATGGGGACGCTTCCCCTGCAGAGGAGCTCGGGCATGAAGTGATGCAACGTGCTCAGGTCTCCTGTCGTATCTGCACCGCTGTGTGCAGAGGAGAGGAGACAGAAAGAGTACTTTTCAACTTGTATGAAAACACTTTTTTAAGATGTATTTTATGCACTAATAAATTCTGCAACACTAGCATGATGGAAACGAGCTGAAAAGTTTTGTAACCTCTGATTTAGAGTATTTATTCTCACGGCCCTGACCATGTGTGTTTGCTGACTGGTTTCCCCTGAGTGGAAGGACAGACTGTATAAGCCGGGCTTTCTCAGCTTTCTGTATCTCTCCCTCTGGACTGACAACAAGTAAACCTTCTGTCACAGTTTTAGTTCGTTGTTCCTGAAATGATAATAAAATGATTGCTCAAAAGCAAGTTTACTGTGTGGACCTCCTGTTACTGTTACCTAAACAAACAGGTCAGAACATTATTGTCAGGGCCAAGCTGTAATGTGATATTCTGACCACTAGGTGTCAGCCTGTTGCAGAGGAATATTTCATAGACAGACTCTGGCTTTGCACGACAACAACACAACAACTTTGCACAACGGAGGAACTTTAAATCTTATGTCACTATTCAGTATTTAATTATCAACATAGAAGGACGACAAGGAGAATTAAAATCACACTGACACATCTGGAGAGGGACTAAAGAGGACGGCTGAGCATTTAGAGGTGCAAATTCATCTATTTATTAACTGATGTTCTTACAGTTTAAAATGAAACATGGTACATAGAGTGTGATGATGTAAATGTAGAGAAGGCTAATGAGTCTACTGTTCAGTTAAATTTTTTACTTCTATGACACATCAGAGGATAAAACATTCTGTGAAGAAGAAGCAGCTTCCTGTGTCAGCGAACTGTTGAGTAAAAACTTGAAAATGAAATCTGTGTTCTTCTGTGAGTTGACTTCAGTTGAGGTATTCTTGTGTTTGAAGATTTATGTTGTTTGCCTTTGTGTCAGTCCGGTATCTTCTCACAGCGCCCTGAATTTCTTTTTGTACCTGAAAGACAGACTTTGTTTTTTTTATTGCACTTCTGATTTGAACTCCTGACATAGTAGACATGTATCTTACCTCCCCGTTTAGAAAGCAGTACAGCAGAGCAACTATGAAACCCTGAAGCAGGAAAAAGAGACAAACGTTTGGAGGGTAATCACACCTTCACTTGTACAATTAAACATATTTTTAAATAAAATATTAATATGTGCTCAACACTTCCTGGTTCCAACTCCTCAACTGTGAAGATTTACTGTTTTATGTTCTCAAATAAAGACGGACTGACTGACAAATCAGGATGTTAGAGAACATCATGGAAGCTTCAGACACAACAATTCATAAAGACATTTTCATAAAGTACGGAGGCCCTAAAGGGACACTGAGGAACAAAGTGTGGGGTTGATATTGAGAACAATTTGTAAGACTCTGAGAAACCTTTGTGAGGATTTGTAAAAGTTTCTCAGAATCTTGCAAACATTTCTCAGACTCTGACAAGAATTTCTTGAGATCTGAAACATTTTTTTTCCCAAAGGTTTTCAGGATTCTGAAAGGGTTTCTTTGGATCTCCCAAAAGTTTCTCAAGATCTCTCAAACCCTTTTGGGGATTTCTCAAAATTCTATGGAGATCTTTCAGAAGTTTCTAGAGATAAACCTTCAGTTAGACTTTACCTCCATGTCCCTTCAGTGGCCCCGTAATAATAATAATAATAACCAGTAGTGCCCGCCCTTATATCTTTTACTGAAGCTTCAATCTGTATTAAAAACATTCAGGTGTTCCACACAGTAAGTAAACCTGCACATTTGTCTTTTTGAGTAACGGTTCGTCATGGCGAGTTACCTGGAAGGATCCTAAAACTAACTCAAAGACGAGCCGAGGCTTCACACCGACGTGTTCAGGTATCAGAGCGAACAGCGTGTAGTGAACTCCAAACAGAGGGATGAGGAGCAGTGTGGAGCGGACGAGCGTCCTGCAGCAGACGACACAGGAGAGAAGGTCAGAGAGAGAGAGAGAGAGAGAGAGAGAGAGAGAGGACGAGCCAACAGGTGAGAGTTACCTGATCACCTGCTTCTCACTCGGGTTCATCTGCGTTGCCTTTAGAACGATGATCCTGCTGATGTTCAGGAAGATCACAAAGTTGATCTGTGGATCATAAAACAAACAGTCAACACTCAGTTGCTGTTTCCTGTTGTTATTTGCTTTAACTATAATCACTGCTGGGGCGCGCCATGTGCGGGGGCTGGGGTCCTTTAGGCAGGCGGACCGGGTTCAAATCCGACCTTTCCCACTCTCTCTCTCTCTCTCTCTCTCTCTCTCTCTCTGATTTCTGACTCTACCTGCTGTCCTATACCTAAAATAAATGTATAATAATAAAAAGAAACTGTTCTTACAAATATAGAGAGCAGGATGGGAATCTTTATAATCCACCACAAGCTGCTCTCCAGGTCGTCCCAACACCTGCACACACACACGCGCACACACACACACACACACACACACACACACACACACACACACACACACACACACATTAAAACCATCACATCACCACCACATCAAGTCTAAGATAGTCATGTTGAAGTATTACTGACCCCTCATCATCAAGGTGAGTTTTCAGCAGGACCCAGATCACAACGTTCACAGACGGAGTCCCTGAAATAATCAGACTGTGGATAAGAGAAACTACATAAGGATACACACGTGACACACAGACACATGAAAACAGTTCATACCCCAGCCGACAGAGAAGTAGATCCTGAAGATCTTTGAGGTCTGAGTGAAGGTGAAGATCAGCAGAGTCTGCAGGTACAGACCCTCCACCAACAGCCAGCAGAAGTTTGATAAAACACAGAAGTGGAAGAACGACACGGCGGCTTTACATCCGACCTGAGACGACAAAAAATCACAGAGGAATTTAAAATATGGAGGCACAAACTTATGTATTCATTTTTCTCCAGGGTGAGGATACAGATTTGGTGCATTTAGCTTTAGTGAGTAAGGGAAACTCGGCAGCTACCAGACAAATTTCAAGATTTGGGTCGTCCCTACAGACTGAGCTACTGCTGCCCATCACAAGTATTTTTCTTTAAATCTTAAAGAATGAGTAATTAATTTCTCGATGAACAGATTCATAATGATATTTGTTTGCTCTTTCAGTCTGTCTCAGTGGGACTCACTGTAGATACGGTGCAGTGGTTTGTGCTTTTGTCTGCAAATAAAACAAAATCTTTGACAAACACGGCGACACTCCTGAGGATGAAGGTCAGGAACAGATTCAGGTGGATGTAGTTACGCGTGCAGAGAAGCTTCCTGCAGACAAATAAAACGTTGTCACACTCACAAGCATTGTTCATAAATATCTTGTATAACTGAAACATTTCATTTTAAACTGAAATGATTTTATCTTATTCTATTCTGTACAAAGAGATTAGTATTAAAAACAACCTGAAGGAGCAGAAAAGCAGAACAGCGACGAGGAGAGCAGCCAGAGAAAGTCCATATCCAACACTGTAGATCAACTTCAGGAGGTCAAAGTAATTCTTCTGCAGAAAAACAAAGAGACATTCATCTATTGAAGGCATAAAGAAGCAAATCTTTGAAATGGTTAAGAGGGCTCAACACTGCTTCTATACTAAACTCAGAGGGAGACGTTCTACACCTTCTGTACCTCATTCCTCATGTCTTCATCTTCCTCAGGAGCGTCATAGTAACAGGCTTTATAATACGGCACACTCGGCTCGCTCCATCCTTGTTCTGTGCAGCTCCTCGTGATTGGAACTGAGGAGAAAAAAAAGTTTCAGGACACTGATGAAGAACTGAGAGGTTCAACCTGCAGCTGATAAGACCTGAAGAATAATTTATAAAACAGTCTAAAGAAAGAAATCTTCTTTTTAGGAATCTAGAAATTAGGGCATAAGCATTTAAAAAAAACCCTGCTTCAATGATGCACTTCATTTTCAAAAATAAAAAAGTAAAGGTGACATATTATTTAAAATCCACTTCACCATGTTTCTCTAACTGTAATATGTGTCTTTAGTCCGTCTACAAACCCCCCAATGATGAGAAAAGTCCATCTTCTCCGTCTTTTCCCTACTCCACTTTTCAGAAAATGTGTGCTCAAACAGGCCATTTGTAGATTTTCCCTTCATGACATCACAAAGGGCAGTAGCCCCTCCCCCAGGTGGGTGACACTCCCACAGCTAGGTGTTTGTTCTGCCCTCTGAGTCTGCCTTCTCACCGTAAACAATAGGACATGGAGCGAGAAAGCCCAAGTACACCCAAGCCCTTCCAGAGAGGGGGCGTGGTCAGACACAGCTCATTTACATATTTAAAGGTCCAGACACAGAAACAGCCTGTTCTGAGCAGGGCTGAAATTTATAGGCATGATCAAAAACAGGATCAGAGTGGATTTAGAACAAGAAACTTCACACATGTTTTGAGGAGCTCTGAGACTTATTTACACTGAAGAAGAGGAGAATATGCCACCTTTAAACATTTAATTTCTAATGTCATTATCAGAGAAGCTCCTGTGGATGATGTCGTATTGTTTACCTGGAGGAGTTTCAGGCTTTAGCAGCAGCAGAGGACAGAGGACGGAGACGATCTCTCCTTCAGAGGCGGCCGGCCAACAGCTCACTCCGTCCCACTCCACCACACAGGCTGACATTAAATATATCTTTTTAAACAAATCGAGGAAATGTTTCTCCATTTTTTAAAATAATTTGTTGTCAAGTTTAAATACATTTTCACTAAAGGAAACAGGTACCTGCAGTTTTGTTGGTGGTCTCCATCTCCAGGTTACACTCGTTTTCTTTCTCTTGGAGATGAAGAACAATCGAACATTCTGGGTGAGTCGACCAAACCTGGCAGGAAAATTAATTAAAGTTTAATTTAATATCACAGTTGCACATTTGTTTAAGATTTATTTGGGTTCTTTTTGCCTTTATTTGATAGGACAGTGGATAGAGTAGGAAATCAGGTGAGAGAGAGAGAGAGAGAAAGAAGCCTCAAGTCGGATTTGAACCCAGGCTGCGACTTAACCGCTAGGCCATCTGCGCCCAAACAGTTGCACACTTTAATTCAATATTTTTTGATTTTGATTTTTGTTTGTCATCTCAGTTATTTTTTTAATAATCTGGTAACATTTCTGGATTATTTTAAATAACTTACCATGCACAGTGTGATGATCAGGATGTAAACAGCAGCAGTCAGACTGAACTTCATGCTTTCAAAAGTTTCAATTTCCAGTATAAAGTCACTTCTTCTTACTCTTCCAGAGGTTTGTGGAGACAAGATTTCACTCTGGATGAAACGTGTAATCAGAACCAAAAAGAAGTCAGTCTTTCAGTTTAGTTAGAAAATGTAAAAAGTGTTTCCACTTCAGGATGTTTCCTCTGTGCATCTCGACTGATGAGACGCATTTTGAAACAGAAGATAACAGAACAAAGCCTGACATCAGAGAATGACCTCAGCTGCAGCTTCACCTTAACAGCAGGAGGGAAGATACTAAACAGGGTGCATAATGCATGCTGTTGACATGTGGAGTGCTCTTACACGTGTGTGCATTAAGTGGAGTTTTAACATGATGACATGGTTTTTAGTTTATATAATTCACAGGAGGTAAATCCTCCACAGCAGCAGGAGATTTGAATAAATATTGAACTGGAAAACAAAACAAGCTGGGAACCTAAACAAGGAAGTATTCTACAGTCCTACACAACAGTGATGGATTTACTGTGAACTGTTGTGTCAGGGTGGTTGTTTGTTTCTTAGTTGTTTGGTGTCTTATACAAAGAGTAAAGATTCATATTTCTAAAACTGGGACATTAAAATACAGACTTATACTTCAGCTTTATTAAGAAAAAGATTCACAGCATCATCACTGTCAAATCATCAAAAAAATCAATTAAGAAGGAAAGTTTTACAGCCTGGCAGATCTCCAATAGTTTCCCTCTTGAAGATGTCTATAAGCACATAAAACAGCACCTTCATTTACAGAATGTGGCACAAGGACCCCGTCTTCTTCTTGGTCTGCTTAAAATCATGCAAAAATGAATTTAGTTATAAAATATAAATCTTTATGGTTTGATACATCATGAGACTTCTTTAACATGGATTTCAGACAGTTTTTTTAAGGGTGATTTCATACTGCTGATTTTCAGACAAGAGGACTCCATTGACTCTGCAATGTCTCCCTCTAGTGTTAGAAACCAGACTTGTTGTCATCAATTCAGTCCGTTTTTTTTGGTCCACACTTTACAAATCTGCCATGTCCTTCTGTGTTCCCTAGCCTGCACGTTTGAAACAGGTCATAAAAGTGACTCGTTAAATTTTTTTTTTTTTTTAAATGGCAGGATATTGTGCATTTGTTAAGGACTATTTTCAGCGGCGGATAAATCCTCATATGATCCTCGAGAGAATATTATTCAAAAACAATCAGGTAAGTTTTCAAAGTTTCATTCAAAGAAGTAAATCTGGCTCAAGTAAAAAAGTCTCAGGAGAGTCGAGTTGTTGCAGGAACAACACGGGAGAGAAAAAGTCTGAGGGTTGATCAGATCATTTCCGTACAGTAATGATGTCAGACTCTAAAAATAACATTTTGAACTTGTCAGTGGCAAAACCTTGAACTTTAAGATGTTTTAATTTGATCAGGCGCATGTACTCATGAGGATTATGTTGCAGCCATCACAGCCTGTTTCACAACGGCTGGTTGAATCGATCTTCTGGAGCAATCCTCTAACTAACTTTAAGAGCTCAAAACATTCTCCTTTAATATTTATGTGGTCTGAAAACACAGCAGTGGTATCAGTCATCTCTATTTATTTATTTTGTTATAGTCAATTGAAGGATTGGCAAACAAAAGGTTATGTAATGAGCTTTAAAGGTTCAGGGAGGAGGATATTATTGGGTTTGGACAAAGCCAGACAGGCTGTTACTAATCTTTATGCTAAGCTAAGCTAATCAGCAACTGTAGCGTCATGTATGTGAAATGGATCTCCTCATTCAGATATAACCAGGAAAACACATTTCCTTACATATATGTCAACCTTATAACCTTCCAACTTGAACCTTGTTCTTATTCAGCCGCTCTGAGCTCCACTTCCTGTCAGAGTGAAGCGTCCCCCTCTGTCACGGAGGCGTCTCCTCCAGGTAAACAGACTGCAGACCATGTGAGGATTTAAAGGGTGTGTAAAAGGGGATTTTCAGCCTAAGGAGGATCCCACGGCAGCACCTGACCCACAGTCAACTCCACCACAGGATAAATCCAATCATCTTCAACCCTACAGCCAGGGACAGCTGTTACACTGGGAAGGTTTCCAAAGACAGAGAGAGCGAGAGAGAGAATGGGGGGGGGGGAAGGAAAGAAAAGTGTAAAGAAGGCACACAGAGTCTTGATCTGCCAACACATCATGGCCTCCACATTCCCACACAGATCTTAGCGTCAGATATTCCACTGCTGTTTTCCAGAGCTGAGCGGTTTCTCGACTCGGTGTAAAAGTTGGCACTCAGTGTGTGACAGCGAGAGGCCACAGACGGCGCGCTGATAGACGGTGACACAAGGGTGCACTGTTCAGTCCCTCAGGCCTCCTCTGCTTTATGTGCCAACACTCGACCTTTGTGTGCCGACACACTGAGCTGTTACTGTATCTGCTGCTCACACTTACTGTACGCATTTTAAAGAAAAGTAAAGCCACCTGTAACTCCATTTAGTTTCACTCAATTAGCTTTAAGGTTGTTCAAATTATATTTCCATTACATGTAAAAAATACTACATATAAACATTCTGTTTCATTTTTAATGCCTTGTGCAACATTTAAACATAAAGCCATTCAAAGAATCAGTCTTATGTTTCTGGTATTTTAAACAGTTGAACTTAAAGGTCACATGTTATGCTAAATCCACTTCACCATCTTTCTCTAACACTAGCATGTGTCCCTAGCCTGTCTTAAAAAGTCCATCCTTGCCTTGTCTCTTGCCTGCTCCACTTTTTAGAAAACGTGTGCTCAAACAGGGCGTTTGGAGATTTCCCTTCATGACATCACAAAGCGCAGTAGCCCCTCCCCCAGGTGGGTGACACTCCCACAGCTAGGTGTTTGTTCTGCCCTCTGAGTCTGCCTTCTCACCGTAAACAATCGGACATGGAGTGAGAAAGCACAGAGACACCCAAACCCTTCCAGAGAGGGGGCGTGGTCAGACACAGCTCATTTACATATTTAAAGGTACAGACACAGAAACAGCCTGTTCTGAGCAGGGCTGAAATAGAGGGGTTTATAGACATGATCAAATACAGGATCAGAGTGGATTTAGAACAAGAAACTTCACACACATGTTTTGAGGAGCTCTGAGACTTATTTACACTGAAGAAGAGGAGGAGGATATGTGACCTTTAAGCATCCTGATTAGAATCTAGTTGTTAGTTTTTGGGGTGTTTTAGCAGAGATTATTTACCCTGATGGTCAGACAGTTGTTTGTCATGGATTAAAATTATTCAGAATTAAATGTATACCATTTCTAAATTTATAAGTACTTCTGAAACAACATTTGATTCAGATTGTTTGAATATTTCACATTTAAAAATCAGGCCATGCGAGCACATCTTTACAACTCATAAACATCTAATCATCATTTTGTCAATACTTTATCAGCAGTAACTGATACTTTCACAGAACACTGAGTGAGCATCAGACAGAGTCAGAGGTATTTCCTGCAGAAGTTCAGGAAGTTCAAGCTGCCTCAGGAGCTCTTCTCTGAAATCATCCAGCCTGTTTTATGAGTTTTATGCTTTCTTCTTTTTAATAAAGAACAAACACAGCTGCCCATACTAAATACAATACTTTGCATACAGTAGATGCATACGTTGGGATGTACTACTTTCTCACAGAACTGCTCCTTGGACTTTGTCCGTTTTGCTTTTTCAATATCGTGAAACTCTAATGTTTATGAAAAACTGCTCAATCGGAAATTCAAAAAGCCAGAGGCATTCAGGAGGCAGAGAAGCCTTCAAAACAACATGCTGGGCTGCATGATGCAAATGTATGCAACCGGAGGTATTTGAGCATTCTGTCTTAAGGCGTGCTGCATATGACATACATGTGGGATGTTTTTGTAACATGATACATATTATGGGAATATTGGTGCTGACATTTAGCCCATGTTTGTTCTCTGCATATCCATCATCATCTTCTTCATCTGCTTTGAATCAAACAGCAAACTAGACAACACAAGAAAAACAACAATCATGGCTACCAACCTGCCCTCTGGTCAGAACTCAAACATGTGCAGAGTTTCAGGAAACTTCAGGAAATATCAGCGCAGGATCATCAACCCTCAGACACGACGTCTCTCCTGTGCACAGAAACAAAACAGATCCTATATGTTAACAGTGAAATCTGTGTTATAATGTCAGACCATGCATGATAATTTGATCTGCTTTCCTCTTTTATACCTACACTGTGACTATTTCTGTCTTTATGAATAATGTAGCTGTGTTCATGATAAAGAATTCATAACCTGTTGTCTGTCAAAGAACTCGCCAATTAAAGCAGATTCAGATTCTTGATTCCTGTTCAAATGATGAAGAACCTTTTTATTATTTTATATTGTTAAGTCTAGGATTTTTTATATTTTTAATGCAGCTGTGGGGTCTCTATAATGTTAATACTAACACCTTAGCTCGGACTGTACCAAACACCTGAAACAGAGAAGGAGGTTTGGGAAGAGAACATTTGTTTGTGTGTTGAATATATTACATTTTTAAAGTAGTTTTTGCATAGTTCCTTAAACAGTGTTTCTAGTTTTTTATTATTATTGGCCTTTTATGCCTTTATTTTGAGACAGGACAGTGGATAGTGTCAGAAATTGGAGAGAGAGAGAGCGATAGAGAGAGGGGGAGGGAAAGGCCTGCAGGAAAAGACCCACAGGTCAGATTTGAACCCGGGCCGCCCTTCTTGAGGCCTAGCCTTTGTACACGGGCATATGTGCTAACAATGAGGCTACAGGCGCCCTGAGTTTCTATTTTTTTTTTTTGTGATTCTGACTACAGAGGTCTATTTAATCCGGGGTTCCCAAACTTTGAAGCCAGCGATCATCTAAATAATAAGGGAGTTAGAGACCGGGAATCCCCACTGTCCCTGGAGGAGGTTAAAGCATTTCAAGTTGTGCTCAGCTGCTAACACACACTTATAAACGTATCCAAACACTGACATCAAAACAACACAAAAGAA